CATGCGTATAGATCCATCTTTCTTTTTCACAAATAACACTGGCACCCCATACGGCGATTTGCTCAACTTAACATACCCTTTGTCCACCAACTCTTCTAGTTGGCACTTGAGCTCCTCGAGTTCTTTTTCATCCAAACGATAGAGGGGACGAACCACCGCCTCAGCACCCTCGACCAGCTCAATCTTATGTTTTATCGGTCGTGCGGGGGACAACCCTGCCAATAGCTCCTCTAGTATGGTATCCTAGAATTGGTCCAACACCCACTAGATCACTAAAGGTACTTCTTCCGTTCCCGTCTTTTTATCACTCTTCGCCGAGAGTAAGCACAAAAATGCAACCTTGATTCCTTTAGTGAGTTGTCCTCTCGTGGACACCAAGTTTAAACAGGAATCTTTGGCCTTGCATTGCCCTATCTTTAGATCTTGGGCCTCCACCCTGGATTTTCTTCCTTGGGCATTCGCTAGTACCACAAGGTTCCTACCTTGTCCATGCAGGGCTACCATGAACCGATTGAACCAATTCATCCCGAAGATCACGTCAAATCCCGCCATGTCCAATACGGTGAAATCCATGTATACTTTCCATGTCCCTACTTCGACTCTCGCTTGTCGAAGTACATTGATGTTTTGGCTACCTTGAACAAACTCTATAGTCCTTGATTCATCCAGCCGCTGCACCGTTAGTCCGGCTTGCCAGACTATGTTTGCAGCCACAATATTATCCAAAGCACCGATGTCAATAAAGATCTTAACAAAGCTACCTCCGAGTTTCCCTCGGAGGGCTAGTAGATGTCGCGAACAACTCTCTACCAAAGTTGCTCGTGTAATGAGTAACTTTGAGCTAGGGACTGGATCACATACCTCATTTTGGATTTCACCCGACTAAATGGCCATATTGGCTTTGGCCTTCTTCGGGTAGGAACATTCCCTTGAAAAGTGTCATGCTTCACTGCAGTTGTAGCATACGTTGTTTTCCACGTTACTACCTAACTTGACCTTCTTATCCGTGGGTTTGTCTCTTTTTGCTTGACTTCCCCACATATTTGCTCGCTGGCCACCGGATTTGCCTTACCGGAACCCCAAGGACTCATTCTTAGAGAAACTCTTTTTGAATTTCCCTTTGCTATACATTCCCCTTTGGTTGGCCCCTTTGCTAAACATGGACCCCGACCCCATCGTGTTCCCCTTTCGTAGGTGATCGTTGAAATACACCTTGATGGCCGCATCCAACACTTCCTTGTAGTTGGTCGGGTTCCAACGCATCACCTCACCGCGAGCCCAGGTTTGCAAGCCTGATATAAAGGCATGGAACACATCCATATCCCCCATGTCCGTGACAAGTATCCTCTTTGCCATAAACCCATTCACATACTCTTAAATGGTTCCGGTCTGCTTCAGCCTACTCAGCTCATATCTTAGATGCAGAGTAGCATTCAGAGGAACGTAAGTCGTGTGGATCTTCACCTTCATCATTTCTCAAGTGGCCACCGGTCCTTCGTTGGCCTCTGTCATTCTCCACCAAGACTTGGCATTATCTGCCAAGTATGGTTTTGCATATGGGACTTTCTCTGAGCTCGGTAACCGCAACGCTCGAAAGTAGTCCTCCATATTATAAAACCAATCCTCCACCACCTTATAGTCGTTCACTCCTTTGAAGACCGGTGGGGGCTTTGGTTTGTACTTGGGAACTTCCTGAGGGACTGATTCCACTTCGGTCTGTTCGACCTTGTTTGGTTCTGCCTCCGTTCCTACCGAAGGGTCTGCAACTTTTGCGCTGCCAGCATCCGCAGTCTTTCTCTTTTTCTTCCGCTTCTCATCACGCTTTAGCTTGCGTATGAGAGTCTCCAGCAGGGCATTGGTCTGTGCCAATTATCCTTCTAGAATGTCCAATCGAGTCTTGGATGACCGAACCTCGCCACCGGACTCCTGTTTGGAAGTTTTCTCGCTAGAGTCCTCCTCATGCAAGGATTCCTTATCCATAGCCTCTTGTTCGACTAGAGGCTCCAGCTCTGTCTCCGCCTTGGTTCGTTTACACCCTGCCTTTGCCATCTCTCAGCAATCCGCCTTTATCCTTCGCTAGAACTGAGGAAAAGGCTCTGATACCAAATTGTAAGCCACCAATTTTTCCTTTCCAATTTTCCAGCTTACCTCGTCTATCTGACTAACACTGCCTTGGCTTTAGCTAAGTGCCCCTAGGAAGGGCGAGGACCAATGAGCCACAAGGTACTCAAGTGGGGCACCACTCCACATGAACCGGGAGCACTGCAGTCGGTTTCCCTTTCGGGAGTGGGAGCTGCTCTTGAGCACTTCCTTGGGTGGCCCCTCCGGCACCACCCGAGTCCATGCTCACTCCCACCCAAGGCCCCTTGGCCCCAGTCTCAACCTCAAGTCAGTTTAGAAGCACCACTAGAGAGTTCTTTCAAGACTGGTTCTTGGACCTCCCTATCCCTACTATACTTTTGGAACCCCCTACAGCCCCCCCCCCCCCCCCCCTGCCCCCCCCGGGAGATGCACGCTTTGGGCTTTCACCCCTTGACCTGTATTAGTACTCGGACTCGGTCTCGGACCCGACTTCGGATTTGATTTCGGACTCGATCTCGGATGCGATCTCGGACCCGATCTTGGACTCAACTTCAGACTCAACCTCGGACCCGATCTCGGATCTCGGACTCTGTCTCAAACTCAGTCTTGAACTCAGTCTTAAACTCGGTCTCCGAATCGGCCTCGGGCTCGATTTCGGACTCTATCTCGAACTCGGTCTCAGAGTCGGTCTTGGACTCGATCTCAGACTCGGTCCCATCCGATGAACTCTTTGTCATTTCGGTCATGCTTTCAGGGATCCCTTAGCCTACAACACCTCAGGGAGTTGGTTCCTTACACAACCCCCACACTCTCCCTATTATACTTTTGGAACCCCCTATAACCCCCCCTCTAGGGGACAATCACTTTGGGCTTTCACTGTATTAATATTCAGACTCAGACTTGGACTTAGACTCGGACTCAAACTTGGACTCAGACTCGGACTCAGACTTAGTCTCGGTCCCAGTTTCAGTCCCGGTCTCAGTCTCAGTCTTGGTCCCGGTCTCGGTCCTAGTCTCCTTTGTTGAAAGTTCTCGAATTTTCAAGTCAGAGGTTTTAATCCAAACGCATTACTCTCGTTTGGCTTTCGCTTTGGCCACTACCACATGGAACCCTTTTTGCTCCACTTTTGGGGCTTTGGGATTTATGTCTCACACTTTCCTTCAAAGAAGGCCATCCTTGAATAGAAACTCAAGATATGACTAAATAGTGGACTATAAGAGCTAAGTGAAGCACCATGTCATTTCTGTATCCCTTTGCCACTCTGGCTAGGAAGTTTGGTGTCCGTCTAGATACTCCCATTGAGACTTGTGATGCCGGCTTCTCAAACATCCTGGATAATGCATCTGGCAAGGTATTTGTCTTCCCCGGCTTGAATTCAATAGTGAAGTCAAGCACTTGAAGTTTCTCTATCCACCCTCTCTACTTCTTATTCAGCTGTGGTTGTTCCAGCAGGAACTTGATGCTATAGTGATCTCTCTAGAGCATGAATCACAAAAGTAGCAAGTAATTCTGCCTCCACAACATGCATCACCACCAGCATTTTCTATTTGTAAGCAGGGAGACTTACCTCATGGGGACTGAAATGATAGCTCTTGAAGGTGATGATTCTTTGCTCTTGTTTGAGTACAGCCGTTGTCCCAACATCTGAAGCATTAGTTTCAATGATGAATGTCTTTGAGAAGTCTGGGAGTTGAAGAATTGGAGCCACCAGGATCATTTTGTTTAGTAGAGAACATTTGTTGATAACCTCTTCCCAATGAATGATGACGTGTGTAAGATATTTGTTAATGGAGCAGCAATGGCAGCATAGTGCTCAATAAACTTCTGCAAGTAGTTGCAAAGGCCAAGGAATGCATGTAGCTACTTTAAGGAGGTTAGTGTTGGCCAATTCTCCACCACACTTAGCTTTGCAAGATCAAGATGAAGGAGGCCCATTGAAATGTGGAAACTTAAATACTCCACCTCTATTTGCATGAATACCCACTTTGACAGCTTGGCCACTAGTGAGAATTCTTTAAGGCAGTTGAGACTTGTTCCAGGTGCAATAATTGTTCCTTGGTGTCTTTGCTGTGAACTGAGATGTCATCAAAGAAGATGATCATGAAAAGAGCAAGACAATCGTCTCATTCTCTTGCTCTCGTCGTTACTAGCTCACCTAAGAGGTGATTTGCAATGTCGAAGAAAGCAAGAGTTTTCATTGTCTTTGAAGTGGTGCCTTCTAGAGGTGCTTCAATCTCCTGGCTCGTTTGATCAATTTTCGCAGGTCGATGCGCTTCGCAGCTGCTGCTATCTGGAAGAAATGTGATTGTAGATACACCTCCTATGCCAAATATGGATGGATATTTCCTTCCCGAATAATTAATTACAATGCGTTCATGGCACAGCATATTTCGAGATTTTGTTGTATAGATGCGAAAACCAATGTTCATCTAGAACCTGATTCGAACCAGGGAACACCGACCCGGAGGCAGCCCAGCAGACAAGTAAAGAAAGTGCACATCTGGTGAATCTCTACTCCGTCAAGAATTCTGTGGAGCAAATTGAGAACTACATGCTCGACAATGAAGTTGGACTATGGAATTCTTACAACCTACTAAAGGACGTGGTTTCTACGGACAGTGAGGGAAAGTGGAAGTTTCAAAGTGCATCATTTGTGGGAGTTGTATCGTTTCGGATATCAAACCGAGGTGGCGAGCTCGCTCGGAACCTAAACCGTTTGCCAGTCCTTTTGCTCCACTTGATTCTGGAGTATACGCACCTGTGTCCAATACAAACATGTCAAAGCTTTGAAAATAAACCTCCCAGCTTGTACCATTTGCTGCATCCTCTCCGTCTCTTCATTGAGATCACGGACGTACCGAAACAGCTCTGGCGCAACATTTTAAACCTTTAGAACGCTCAGGAGATTCGTTGTGCGATTACAAACCTTGATAACCACGTTTCAATTCAGAGCTCAACGACTTTTGAACAGCCAGCCTTGTTTCCAGATCATGTATCTGTAACGTTCTGCTTGAAACAAGTCCAAGATACCGGAAAGACACGAACCTTGCCCTCCGAAGCCTCCCTCCCTATTTCTTCGTTTTCCTCTTGCAGCGTACGACACTTTGCCATGAGCATTTTGCCGTTTTTACTGTGCGGAGTGAACTGGACAGCGGCGAGATCGTCAGTCAGCTCTTTGGCCTTCTTTTTCGCAATTTCCAGCTCCTTCTAGACTTTGAAGTCACAACCTCAGACAGTGTTACCATTGTCTGGAAAAGACTAACCTTCATACGTGTAAATTCTACATGTATAGCAGGATCCAGCAAAAGACGACGAGACTGCGACCAAACAAAGTTGTAAGATCACTAGCTAGCCTGGAAAATACACGAGTACCTGAAGCGTTGGAGGCCTCAACGAAAGCTTCAAATCGTGAACGACAGTCTAAAGTGCCATTGCGTTTATAACAAAATAAAAAACATAAAAAAAAAAAGAAACATTGAAGAAAGACTTGCCTTCATCTCTGCAATTTCTTGTTCCTTGTTTGACAAATGGATCAGCATGGCAGTTTCCTTGCGCCTGGATGATGCGAGCTGTGAAACGACAAAGAAGACTCGATCAGAAACAAAAAGAACAAGGAAAATGCACAACTCGCAACGCCAAACTTGTGAACCTGGTCTTTCACACGAGCTTGGGATGCTTGGAGAGATTTTATATGATCCAAGATCAGCCGAGGATCTAACAACAACATACATATCAGAACAGTAAGCAAACACAAGGTAAGTTGATAGACCTGAAGTTGAGTTTTCTGGTAGAACTGACTCTCCACTTTGAAACAAATTCCTCCATTTGTCTAGCTCTCCATTGGCAGTGGCAAGGTCAGCCTGCCAAAAGCCAAAGGAAGCTAAGCGATGAACTGTATCAAAGAGCTTGTGCTGCTTTGCAATATACCTTTAGTGATGCAATGGTCCCATCACGCTCTTCTAAACTACATGAGAAAGAAGCGCAAGTTTGGAAGCTATACGTGATAGAAAGATTACCTGCCGCGAAGATTGAGTATGGTAGTAGTCGCGTGATCACTTCCCGCGGCCACTGCTGATCCATAAATCTACACGCAAGATACACGATTCCTTTTGTGAGCTTTTCCTTCACATTTGCAAGTTTCTAAACCAGAGGAGAGAGAAAGAAAATGTAGTACCTTCTTTGAGGGAAAAAGATCGTCATCGTCCTCGAGCTCGCCAAAACCCCTCTTTCTTGTTTGAAACAAACCTCATGTTGCTTTACAGTGTGGAAATCCTTTCCACTTCATATGGAACTCCTTCACCTTGCGTCCTTATCACTTGCTCTTGCATGCATTGAAGATAGCTTCGACTTCGTATTCCTCTTCCTTTTGGATAACCTCAGCTAAAGGTTTTACTTGGTTCTTGCGAAGGAGATCCTTAAAATACGGCTTGACTAAGTTCACGTGGAACACAAAGTGCATCTTCCCCATCTCCCAAGGAAGTTGGAGGTGGTAAGCCATCTTATTAATTCGAGCCTTAATCTCATAAGGCCTCGCGAACCTGCTTAAAGAACTCAAAATTAGTTCATTTCTAAAAATATATGCATTTTACCTTTGGGTCAATTTTTGGTTGATCCAGTATTTAGCCACACCTTATCCCCAGGTTAAAACTTTATATCCCAACACTTTTGGTTTATGTATTTAGTTTGCTTTTGTTTTCTTTTGATGACCACCTCTTCCACTGATGACACTCCAATAACAGACTTAGTCTCCTTATATTTTTAGGAGGTACTTTCTTTGTTGGTGACCTTTTCATCACCTCCTAGATTCCTTGCCAACTATAGGAACAAGGACCCTATTCTTGCAGGACAACTTTTCCTGGAACATGAAACCATCCAAATGAAGGACCTATCTGGCACTTGAACCGTCAAGGTAGATGCCCCACAGCCCGGGGAGGGAATCTAGAGTAGTGCCAGTGTTCATTTCACAACTGCAATGTGAGCTGGATGTGGGGCGAACTTTGCAAAGAAGGAAGTTTCTCATGGAACGTGGATCTGGAATGAAATGCTAACAATGCCAGAGATTGAGAAGTAGCTCTTGGCTTCGTCCATAATCCCGAGATGGGTGAGAGACTGCAGCATTTGCTGAGGAGAGGAAAGCAGGCATTCATTTCAGAAAATGCCACAGCACGGGCATGATGCTCTTTAAGCGGGTAAGAAAAGCGTGAAATCCGCACTCGTTGCTGGAATGGATCCCAGAGTGGGGTAGCTTCAGGTGGAATGCTGTGATCTTACTTACTCACTCACTCCACACTCTCTACCTTTCTTTCAAATCCAGAAACGTCTATGGAAGTCGTTGCTCGGCTCAAGCAAGCGAGCAGTCGACTCTCCAAAACTACACAAGACTATAAACCACTGAGCTCTTGAATAAGAAAAAATGACCAGGCCCAAAGTGAAGGAAAAGCAGCACAGCTTAATCGGGGCATCTATGGGCTGCCTGGAACGATTGACGCGGAGAATGGCAAAATTGGCGACATTAAGACTCATCAGCATGGAAATCGAGAGAGTCTGCGAAAGAAAAGCACAAGAAACACATGTTTGACCGACCAAGAGAAATCAGCCCAGGTTAACGGTTGTGGGAGGCATGGCTGGTTTGATCATATTTTGGTGGGGTCATGTCAAGCTAAGGCCTTGAGTGGTGAAGAGCCTGCCCCCATAATGGAAAGGTGCAAAGTTCAAATCAAAGAAACAAAAAAAAAAATTACAAAAAAGAAAAAAAAAAAAAGCTCCCAGCCACCGAGGACCTTAGCTTATGCAAAAACTGGGAACAAACGTTTTGAGGCGCTGCTTGAGCACAAAGAGGCAACACCCAACACTCTCTCGCATCGGCGAGGCCAGTGTGTCCCACTGGAGCAGTCCTCCGGTCGTGGGGAGCTCGATCTTGCAAGGCAGCGCAGGGACGAGGGAAGACGAAGCTGTCGGGTCGGCTGGATCCATCCAAGTTCATCTCCTGGAGGAGAGAACACGTTCCTCGGGGGCTGGTGAGGCCATAGAAACGCCCCAACATCCAGAGCGACTCCTAGCTTATGGATGCTTAGACGGTTTGCTATCAAGTTGTTTCTTTTTCTTTAACCATGGATGTGCTCTAATCCTTGCGGCTAATGACCAGGGGCCTGGACAGAATATCACACTAGCAACTGGCCCTGCCTCGACAAACCACCTGCGGTGGCATCTTGAGACAATGGTTGTGTTTCAGATGGATTTGGCAACCGGTTTTGCATCCGTGACAACTTTTGCAAAGCTATGGACCCTGGTGGCTGGAAGTGTTTTCTTTTCTCCAGTTTTGGTTCTTTAATTGGCCCATACGGAGCAGCAGCTGATCCAAGGAGTTTTGGAAGCTCAGTTTTCCAGCAAGATGCCCCTGAAAAAATGCAATAGTGTGAAACGTCTTGGTTTTGGCATTTGCCCAGGAAAGGAATCTGGAGACATGGGGCACAGCATAGGCACAATTTCTTATCAAGTAGCTGAAGCATGCGCGAAATCTACACTGCAAGTTGGATTTACAATGAGATTTGCTGAAAGGAATCCCACATTTGTCTCCAGTTCTCCTTGTTCATCATGGTACTGCGCCTTCGCTCGCTGGAATATTTCTGAATTCTAATCTTGCCCCACTGCAACTTGGTTTCTTTCACAAATTCCTTTTGTTCTTCCGAAATAACATAAAAACAAGATAAGAACTGGCCGAGGATCTAAAGTTATTGTCCATCAGAGGTAAGAATCCTACATTTTTGTTTTGTGCTTGAGGAGAGGAGACGTAGCTTGGCATAAAATGCATGGAGTTGATACCCACATAGAAGACCACATGCCGACCCTAAAAGAGGAACTCTCGGTGTTATAAAACTATCCTGGAATTTTGCAAACTCGATCAACACAGTGCCTCGCTCTGACACAAATAACTGTGAGAAAGTGACATTGATTTGTTTTCCATGCCCGAACAGACTTATTCCTCCAAGATCATGGCGAGTGCTCTATGCATCCGAACACATCCAGGCATTCCTGGAAAATTCAGAATCTAAGGCTTCCCATTTTCTAAACAACACCACGGATTTAGGCCGTTTGATCCAAAGCATCTTCCATAAGTAAATCTGAATATGTGATGCCAAAATATGTTTTGAATCAAAATGTCTAATAGGTGGAATTATCTTAAATATATCCAATGCAATATTATTATTTTATTATTAATATAGTATTGTGAGGGCTAAGTGTACAGTTACAATGCCGTATACTAATATTAGCGTAGTGGGATTTTGGTAGCCGTTAGATTGGTTTCAATCCAGACTATTATATAAACTAGGGTTTTTGGGCTAATTGATATGCACATTTTCTGTATTCTTTTCCCATATTCTAAACACTAATATAGATAATTCTAGGTATATCCTAAAGTTTTTAAAAAATATATCAGAATAATCTCTAGACTGCTGAACAAAGGGTTACATACATTCCCCATCATCTAATCAGAGGAAACTTTTTGGATTTTTACTAAGATATGGAAGTGATGGCCGTTAAAGAATGATTGGATGATGGGGTGTAAATTTTGGAAGCTATGGTGATCCTAATTTTGGTGGAATTGCTGGATGTGGAAATGCTAATTTTGTGGGATGAGGAGATCTCAGTAAAATTTAACAATTCTTAATGAGAAGGTAGACACTGAAGTTGATCCCTACTTCCAAAATGTTTGAGTGCATTTTGGTGAGGAGCTTCTCATCATATGACCCAATAAAAGACATGGTTATCAGCAAGGGGAGGCCAGCCCAGGCTCGGGCCAGGGCTGGACGGTCAGTCCATCTCTTGCAAATACCTAGCCTTTCATCCTATCCCCCACATCTGCTCTAAACTTGACATTCCAAAACTTTCTCCAGCATTTTTGTATTTGGGGATCATAAGTTAACTCCTTTTAGTAACGTCTAAGAGCCATATTGAAGCTTCTTGAACCAAAATAACCTGAATCACTAAAGTTTACTTATAGAAAGCAAATATCTCTAGCTAATTTCCTAAAGTTGTACCAATGTTTTTATTTGAATGGCTTGAATTTTAAATCTCTAAACCAGATTTTTTGACAGTAAAGAAGATGAAATTAATTTCATATGGTTAGGTTTAACTATATCTATTTCATGTAGAATTTGTGGCATCAGACACAAGAACTGAAAAGATGTAGTTTACCATTTTATGTGGTTTGAATAGTAGTTTATAGCTCAAAAAGTGGTTTTCAAAATCTGATATGGGTTGATATGTAGTCTAGTAAAATAAAGTGGTATTTAATATAGCTAAATTTATGGATTTATTACTAAACTGATTTTTATATGGTTTTATATGCTACTATTTTATAAGATATTTTATTAGGTGAAAACTATTGCAGATTTATTAGTTATTAAGTGGTTTATATTATTATGAAAATGAGGTTTTTCTGGAAAAACTACATAAAACACCAAGGGGTTATGAATATGGAGAAATCACTATTGAAAACTGGTTTTCTAAAGTAGTTATTGTGTGGTTTAGTTTATATATTAAAGTGGTAATTAAATATTTATCATATAATTTGATAACTTTAACGTGAAATTTTAAAATAATATTTTAAAAATATATTTATTCAATAATAATTATTAATAATTAAAAATAAAATAATTTATCTTTAAAAAAAGTAGATAAGTTTCATAGTTTAGAACAAAAACCAAATATCATTCTTATGTATGTTAATGACCTATAAACACTATGAATTTGCAATGAGTGTTTTAGAAAAAAGTGACTGGTTACATACTAAACAAGTTTGTGTTTGGGGATATAAATAAAAAAATTGAGGGCATGGTAGGGGATTTTGATATTTTGATTTTCAAAATTAAGGGTACATTGTAATAAAGTGTGGCAATCATTGTCCATAATGTCAAGAATATCATAGATGGGGATATAGTGTTGTGACTTCTACCAATCACCTACACAATCCCAAAGTATACTATTATGAAACTAAAGAATATTCTTATGTTTCTCTTTTTAAAGTTCATAGATATCAAGAGTCCTCATGTTTTCTTTCATTTATTTTCTTTCACAAGATATAACATGGAGTTGATGGAGTATAAGTATATTCATTTTCTATAGTGTTGTTAATAACACAAAAGTAAAAACTTAGTGGATTGAGGCTTAATAATCTGCTCTATTCAGCATTTTGTTATTCAAAATCTAGCATTACAACTTTTATATTCAACTTTTGCAAGTGGTTTTTACTAATTAAAAGTTGACACTATAGATATTATATATGGCATGTGTATCTTTAACAAGTGGGGCACTTTTTTATTCCATGTATGATATCATTTTAGGTATCAATTGGCTATAAGTTGTTGATGTATTGTGACTTTAATAAGAATTTTTAATTATTCCTAAGTGGTCCTTTTTAACAAGATTCTTTTGGTGTCATTGAAGATTTCTCTCATTTGCCACTTA